ATTACAAAAATGTCTGAAAGTCTTTTTATTTACTTTTCTATTATAGATGATTAAAAATTAAAAATTAAAAATTACAGTCTGTATGAAGAAATCGGTTTCTAAAGTATTTTTAGATTTATTTAACTTATCTTTACTACATTATAACTAGCCTAAAAACCTTAAAAATATAGATAAGACAAATACTACTTACAAGTTACAATTCTTTATAATAACAACAAACTTATGAATTTAATTAGAAATATTATTTTTATGTTCCAAACAATCTAAAAAAGTTTTTTTGCTAAAAAATGAAAAAGAAAATCGTGTAAGTTATTAAGTGCTTTAGACCAGCACGTGAATCGATATTACATACGGACCGAAATATATTAGTGGCGACGAGAAGCAGTCGGTATAGTTCGTGTCGAGAGGGGTATTCTGCGGCGTGAATTCGGCGTGCTAAGAATCGATGAATTATGCAACGCATTGAACGATAAATCTCGAGACTAGACCGGTCTGATCGGATTAAACGTATTTCGTTATTTATACTCCACGCCTAGATAGAGACAATGTTTCGGGCATACGGCAATTCCACGGGGAAACGAACAATTTCCGTCGTGGAGTGTCCACGTGGAACCTTGTACCGTGGAAATCAATACAGAAATATCAATGTACATCACGTTACGTACGTCAATTTGTTATATCTATATATGAATCTAATTATTTAAAATAATCTCTTAATTGTTCATTGATTTACATTTCAACATGATAATAATCAGAAATCAGAAATTAGGCTCGCAATGTTCATAGCACAGTTACTTTTATTTCGTAATAAAATTTTTAATGAAAATCGCGAATTAAACAACAACAATTTAATTACGTTAAATCACTGCCCTTTGAGATAAACTATACACCAGAAATTAATATTTTAAACATAATTTAAATTGTAAATTTTCATCGAATTGAGATGAATGTTGCCTTTGTCCGATATCGTACGTATAACACAAATCCATGCCGCTATAAATTGTGATAAACTGTAAATTTAACAAATATATGTAAGTGAATTTAACTCTGATTGTAAAAAGTCGATTTATAATATGTCAATATTAATGTGAATAAAATATTAACATTTTCTCTTTCTCGATAATATAAACTTTTGATCAAACTCACGAATTAGACAATAATTCGAATATACTAAAATTGTGTTGCTAAAAAATCAATATTTTTTACAAATATTTCTAAATTATCATTAAAATCTTATAAAGTTTTACGATATAAAAGTCGATTATTTTTCTCAGAATTTCTTATATGTCATTTAGTCTCATTTTGCACGATACGGCACAATTCTATTGTGGATTATGATGGATTGCCCGAGTGCTTAACTTCCATCAAAATCATTATCAATTCTTAGGGCAAAGTTTCCGCAAGTTTTTTTTTAAACGCTCGACCGTAAGTTTTTTTCACGGTGAATTGTTTCGCCCTCGATTGGTCGGCGCGTTTATGAAACGCCGGCCGATAAACGGGCGATAAATTGGTGCCCGCTTGGATGATCATCTTTCATCATTAAGCACGTAGAACGCGCCAACGCGGCGAAATTCCGTGGGGAATGTAAGACGATTCTCTCACGGAAGCTTATTTCGGAGTGTCACGGACGAGAAGGTGCAAACGAATCGACTGCAATTATACGTTTACGTGACTCTCGTTGCTCCTGATTACTTCGCGAAAATTCAGCGACCCTCAAAAAAGAAGCCGACTACATTTTGCCAGCTCATAATCGCCCACCAGGAAATTAATTCCACGATCGTTAAGCAAGGTAATCGATGAAGCAGATCACGTTTCGTCATTAAGTCTCTCCAATAGGCACTTCGTAGAAAACGTTTACATAATGTGCTCGAAAGGATAACTTCTAAGTAGGAAGAGTATCGTTTCTTGCCAATTTGACCAACATGTGGTGAATAATTAATTTGAATGATTATATTTTATATTAAATTAGATATGAATTCATAACAAAAGTTATTTTTATTAGTAGAAAAAAAAGAGTGAGATAAACACTAATTATAAATGAGATGGCAAAATTAATAATTAATCATAAATTTTAATCAAAGAAAATCACCGTTTTATAAGTAAGACGTGTGATAAGTTTACTTTAATAGAGTAATTAAAATTTAAAATAAAACTGATTGTGAGTATTTCACCAATAATGCCAATAATGTTTTCAAATTTTTTTGGTTTATTTTTTAAATTAAATATAGTACAAGCACATATACATTACTAGCTATCTAATTGTTTTTTATTTAGCAACATAAGAAATGTCATAAACAATTCTATGTAAAAAAAAGTAGAAAATAGAATAAATGACAAGTATATTATAATAATATTTTATAATTTAAACAATTGGACAATTAGAAGTTGTATGTAGAAATAAAAAATTATTTGAAACAAAATGCATTAAAAACATTGACGATAAAAATACGGGCTGGTGTGTTTAAATGTGATGAATATACAAGAATAATTAAATCTGTGCGTAATGCGATGAAAATTACGCTTGACTAAATTTTTCAACAACATTATATAGCTATGTGTACGTTATATTCGTTAAATTTCTCTTAACATATAAATGAACTGCGACGACAGTGCCGAATAACTCTATGACTGTATATACGCGTATTACCATATAATACGGATAAAGATAAAATATGCTCATGATTGAAAATGACAGAAATGAAAGATTAAGCATAAGAATTTGATAGTACTGAGAATTCGAAAGCCGCGATCGATGTTCTTCCAAAAAGTACTTGTTTCGTCAATAAAGCTATTTGTAGAATTTCATAACGAGTATGAATCAAGAATAACCAATTCAGGGGCATCATCGTACAAGATCGGCGAATAAACCGAGAACCGAGTTGATCGTCTTTCATCATTAACGCTCTCTGTAGCTACGTAGACGATGCCTTGCCGCACGAGGAATTCCACAAGGGGTATGAACGACTTCCACCCTGGTCTGAACTTACGCTACCGCTCTAGCAGGGAGACTGTAGATAACCTTCGATCAAACGCGCGACCTCAATCGAAGTTCATCCGAGTACGAGACCGAAGTGCTCACACGGACACAAATAATGCGATCAATTACGCGGTAACTTCCCTCGTTACTTTATACGTCGATGATGATGTGGTGCAATCGCGAGCTTCGAGTTAATAAAAAGAAGTCGCGAGCCGCGCTTAACTCATATCTTGGAGAATCAAGGCGCTTTTATGTTTTAAAATATTAGTCTCTCTTAATTTAAGTTTATATCTGTTGCATAATTTAAGGATTATTCTATAACATAATATAATATGAACAATGTATTTTACCTAGACCCAATTCTTATAAATCTTTAATTTATGTATAACTTCGATAGAGAGAAATTTGTCTATTAACTGTCATTGAAATTTCTTATCGTTTAAAGAAGCTTTCTGTAACCATTGTCCAAATAATTTAGCGATTGTTTAATATATTATAATAAAAAAAATAAAACTAATTTTTTTACTTTTTTCAAATCTAAAATTTACTCTGTCCAGATTAAGTTTATATTATATCATCATCATTTTAATCATATAATAAACAGTATAGCTTCGATGAAATCAGAATCTTAGAGAAATGACGTAGTTCAGATAAATTATTATGGAAGATTATATCAAATAAGACAAATTCGATTGCATTAATATTTTTTTCTTATCACGCTCCGGTGTGCATTAAAGACATGCAAGTTATAGCTCGTCAGATTGATGATTAAATTCATAATGCGAAGAACTTGAGTTGATTACGCACTGTTAAATTAATAACCCGTTGTAACCAAATTAATGATCCGCTCATCCGCGAATGAGAATCATAGTATCCAGTAGCTGCGGTTAGTGGAAACGTGGCTAGAGCATACCTACAGTTATTGGTTCCCGTTTAATTATTGGAGCCTGTCTCCCCTCTCTGTCAGCACGCGTTCTACTCAAATAAAATATTATATTATATCGCAAGCAAAATGAGAATCTTGAATAAAAATACGTGTTAATTATAAATACAAGATATGTTCTAAGACCTTCTTGCTTTCAGAATTTTCGTTTTATCCTAATTTACGATTATATTTATAGAGATACAATTGTAAAAACCAATGCATTTTTTGAAACTTGCTAGTAAAAAATTTCAGTTACCTATGTAAACAAAAATCATTTATTTATTGTTTTTTACTTTCCTTTTTTATATTTTTAGATCTGATTTCATTTTGGACAATATATATCTTTATAGGCTATATTGTTATTGCATCTAAAGTGCTTCATTGCTAGACGACCGGTGGAAATATATTTTGTGCCAATATTGTGCAATATATTTAATTCCGTAAAGGCACTAATGAAACCGCGTTTCTACGACGGTTGCCAGAACACCGTTGTAATTACATTGGAATTTATTTTCCAGTCCGTTGCCATTAGTACCGGAATATTATTTCATTGTTTCACTAATAACCGGCATTGTATGCGAATTGTATAAAAGCAGATTTTCGCGCTCGCAACCAGGTTTATATTCCCCCAATATCTCATTAAAAATTAAAATTTACCGTGTTTCCCATTGACTTTAACATATGTATGTTACTAATAATAATGATACACGTATAATTGCTAAATATAATTTTTTTATAATTACAAATAAATAAATAGCAATCTTTAACTAACTGATAATAATCTCTTTTTTTTTAAATTATATGTTTTATACCTGTCTATTATTAGCTTTATGTGTTAAAACATTCCTGTTTTTGTATAATTTTACCATTAAACATTTTTAAATATGTAAAATATATCCCAAATATCTGTTAAATCGCTTTTAATGATTTTTTTAAAAAGTTTCATTCAAAATTAGTGCAGCAAATATCCATGTGATAAATGATTATGTATTCATAGTGGGAAATGGGCGAATTATATATATATACGTAGTGACCCTTCTATATATCAAATAAGATATTTTTTATATCAACTCTACGATCTCCCTCGGGACGACTTACCGCTTCTTCCGGTTGGCGTCGGCGCGGACGTGGACCTGCCGGTGGGCTCCGGAATCGGGTAGGGTAGGTCGCAGCATTCCCGCTCGGGGAATTCACTGGCGCGAGCGCAGCAGCAGGACAGCGCGACGAGCAGCGTCGTCAGGGTCGTCAGTAGGGGCCGCGAGCGCGACGTGAGCGTCCCGGCGACGCGCGCCGTTAGACCGTCATGCCCCGTCATCGGTCCTACCAGCCGGCCGTGGCCGATTCGACGACTGCGAGCGATTCTGCACCGCGAGATCTTCCTCCTCGCGACCTCCTCGCCCGCAGCATCCTGCGAGCCACGGTACCGCCGCTCGGTCCCCCAAGAGCCGTCGCCACCGCGAGTCACCTCGATGGTCCCCGCGGCGCGATCCTCATCGTCATCACACATACACACTCGAATTCTATACTCGCAGGACCAACTCCCGCCAGCAGAAGCGCAATTCGTCCGCAGACTCGATAGCGCGGCAAGGGGGGAGCGCTTGTCTTGATTCCCAATGTTACAGTGACGTTTTCTTGACGTCACTTAACTATTCGAGAGCTGTTTCTAGCTTAATTCGATTAAGTAAGAGCCGTAATTAGTTCTTAACCAGGCGATAATTTCTTGAGCAAGTTAACTAAATGCGTTAAAGGATTTAAATGCTTCACAAAAGTGTGTTCACTAACAATAAGTTTCACGACAGATCCTTTACGTGTCACACATATTTAAATTTGACGAAATCAACCTCACAGACAACTCTAGTTTTCAGCAAAGTATTAATCGATCGAGATCTTTTACTTAAGAAAAACTTAACGTTGACAAATTATTCTTCCAACGTCGAAGATGTTTCTGGTACATCACGAGATAGATAGAAAATGGAAGAGTCTAAACACTTCGGTAAAGTTTTCATCGTATCGGCTTTCCATTGTCAATAATTTTGCTTGCTCGTAGCTGCAGGATCTATAAATCATGTTTCTAGTATCATGATTCTTCTTTTTATTGCGATACACAAGTTTTTAGGCGAATCAAAGTTATGTACACACACAGCGATAAGATCGAGACATATTGCTCCTCGCGGAAGTATCGAGCAAGATTTTACTATGAGAGAAAGCCTTTCTCTCCCGCGGATTCATAATTCATAAATCCCTTCCGTGATATTACGAATCTTTTTCTAGCGAGGTGTTAAATGGATAAACACTCTTTGCAGGATAAACACTTCATAGAAACGTCCTTCAACACTTTTCATTAAAACGCTACTTGCACCTACTTTAAAGATCCTTCTTGCGAGATTGAGATCCGTAGCGCTTGAAGCCTTGTTTGAGTATCAAGTTTAGGACACTTCTAAAAAAATATTGCACTATTCGCCGCTATTTTCCGTACTGAATCCTTTTACAATGAAAAATTCGAGATCTACGAGTCCTCCGAATTCATAAACAGCGAGGATTTTTTGAGCAACGCACGCCTTTGATTGGAAGAATATATCGAAACTATATAAAAAGACGCCTCTCTCGAAAATTAAGGGTCTCGTAGATGTTTCTTGAAGTAACGAGTAGGGTCACGCGGTTTTCTCATTCACTCTTCTTACTTAAATCGTAACACAAGCGCGCACACACACTAAAAATCTACCAGTCGACTCTCAACGATCTTCTGGAAGTTCGAGTCATCTGCGATGAATCCAAAACCGATCTTTCTCGCACGATCACACTGATTCTCGCGACTGTTGTCACTTACAAGAACGACTAGTTTAACCATTCGCGACTGTCATACTCCCGCGAGATCGATCTTGTCTCCGAACAATCGATTGCCACCGATTTCGAAGTAGCGATCAAACTTCCTCGAAGTGGATCGGCGTTTTAGTTTTCCTCAAGAGCGCGTTCTTCCTGAGAGAACGTCCGTTTACCAGTCTTCGCGAGCACGAAAACGAATACTCGCCCGAAGGACCTCCGATAGGAATCTCGTCCTCGTGTCACGGCACTTCGCGGTCGCGTTATCGCGTTTCGGAGTCGAGAGCGCTGCGTCGTGGCGGCGTCCCGACGCCCAATGACGTTGAGGCTGTTCGCCGTACGAGCGAGAGCCCACCGCGAGGACGCCCACCCCCGCCAACCCTTTGCACTCTCCGCTCGTCGACACGCGATAGCTTCTGCGCACAAACTGGCGCTGCTTCGTTCGCCCGTGTGTATACGGGGTGTCGCAGACCTACTTCCTGTCGCATGCGGCAAAAAGTAGATTACGTGCTGATGGTTTAATGCCGTGACGTCAACAATTTTCAAAAAATTTTGATATAAGCAATTAAAATGTAGAAATTAGGAATAAAGAAACTGTACAGGCTCAAAATAAAAAAAATCAAGTAATTTCAAAATCAAGTAGTTCGAATTTCAATCTCTCAAAGTTATTCCAAACAAAGAAGACATTTGTCTTTTACTTTCCAATCAATTTCAACATAAGAGGAATTTTATGCCAGACTTAATTATCAAGGAATTTGATACTTGAGCAGTATGTGTTTGGTATTCTTTTGGAAATACGATCAAAATGTGAATACACAAAAATAATAGAAAAGACCTCGTGTTGAGCTCCAAATACGAGAAAACTCAACGAAATAAGTTCTCAGGAATCAACCGAGACCTCTCGTCGATTTTCCCAAGAAAAATTGACTCGTGAAATTAATTCGAAAGTCCGTGATTCATAAAAAAAAGGACAATGCAGTATAAATCCGGGACACCCCATAGGTGCATGTGCAGGTGTGTGTGGCCGCTGGTTGCAGGTGTGCAGGTGGAGTGCTACGACGGTGTCCCCGCGCGGCGTCGTCGCCGCGTCGAATCGAGCCGAGCGGCTCCGAGCGAAACTACCCCCGGCTAGCAGCAGCTAGGGCTGCCTGCCGCGCCGCACCGCACCGCGAAACGAACGCGCGACCCTTCAGCGTTGTGTGCGCCGTTCCTGACCTCGTTTTGCCCCGGCTTGTCGAGGTCGGTTACGCGGAAGTGCCCGCCGGCGCGGCGTGCTCCACTACGCGGTCGCCGCTCGTAACCGGACTGGGGGGATGTTTAAATATAACGGGGTATTGATACCTTTACTCGTTTGGCATCAAATACCGCAAACACCGATGACTATTCGATACTTTCCGTGAACAACGTCGTTACTTTACTTACAATGTGGGCAACGTCGACGATAAAAGTTGTTTCCACGGCGACGAATCAACGGAAACGAAAGCAAATAATTATCATAAATGTGTGAGAATATTTTTCAGAGTTGAAGTTTACGGCAAATTGTAAACCTTTTTGCTCAACATAACAAGCACGCCAATACTTCGCATACAATACTGCATTCCAAATATTGTTGCAAATTTATAATATCGAAGTATTTAATATCGCATTCCCTGCAATAAATATAAATTGCAAGTGACTCTTTTCTCTTTCTCTTTTTATATTGCTATAAAAATTAACACAATATCTATACTTTATGAAATTACGAAAAATACAATTTAATCAATAATTTTGTCAAATTTATAAAATCTTTGGATAAATTTTAACAAAGTAATTCAAAGAACTTAATATAAATAAATATATTTATTTAGAAAGTTTATTTTATATTCTTTTGCTGCTATATAATTAAAATTCTGTTAATTATAAACATTTAAAAAAAAGTCATTTTATATATAAGAAATCATCTTATAAAAGTCATAAAGAACTTATAGTTTCTTAAAAATCTTGTTTAGATATTTAAAATTTTAACCAAAAATTTTTTTAAACAAATATATTTCTATAAAGGTAAAAAATCTGTTACCAATGTTCTCTTATCCCTCTACCAATGTTACTTGGCACTAAATTTAGTTGTTTAATTATAAAGTTTTATTACAAAGAAATATACTATAAAAAGTAAAATAATATAATATAACCGCATTTTAATAGCATATCATATTGCTTGATAAAAATAAAGATCTTTTTCTACATCTCTCCATTAAAAAATTTTCGATACAGATGATATTATTGCACAAGGCAGCATACCTTTGTACAAATAAATTTAATTAAATACCATTGCTTGCGTCAATCAGCAAAAAAGCCGGTATGGTTGGAATTAACCAACGTTAAATGTACACGAGCAATAAATTATTTTGCCACAGATTCGGCTATCGACAAGTTTCCATCCCGCGGCTACAAAATTGATATCCGAAATCGCGGTGCAACTTTTTTGGTCGCGCGTTCCAGTTTTTATTCGGCTCTCTTTCGATCGATGAGTGTGAAATTAACCCGCGAGCGTTATGCTTTGACTACATTATTTGTTCTTGTAATAATGTATCATTTTAAAATCGTGTACTTTTTTCGCAACTTACTGGGAGATGTAAATTTAAAAGTAAAGCTGTTAAATGTTTATATAAAAAGATAGCTGTAAAATTATTTACAATTGGATACTAAAAGTTTGTGCGATGACATCAAATCACATTTTTTGCTATGTAAAGTTAATTATATCTTTAAAATAAATCTTGTATCTTTGATACTTAAAATAAATCTTATGTCTTTGAAATAAATAAAAAGAAATGCGTATATATAAAAATATGTATATATAAAAATATGTAGGCCACTTTTTATATGCTTGTTATACAATCAAATCGCTATTCGACGTATAATGCGTGTAACTATATACATATACAAAGTCTCTAATTCTAGTCAGGTTGCGCTTTGTTTTCCATCACTAATGTAAAAGGACGCGTGCGGCGCACAATCGTAATTCAGTTACGTCCATTTAACGCGATTGAACTGATATTGGCGCGCGATATTAACTAAGTTTAATTGCTAGATCGTAATTGTTTGATTAGTTGAGTGCTAAAGTGCTGATGGATCACGTCGCATCGATTCCTGCTCTTCGTTTGATTGCAATCGTTTCAGGTTCAATACTTTTCAGGTTATAATACGAACATTTCGCGTTAATATACTTATAACTGTTCAAAATTGTTCATTTTTTTATTTGTTCTCATTTTGCATTTCCTCACTAGATAGTTTTCTCAGAAACTGTCTCAAATAAAAATTTAATCAAATAATTAACGTAATATTTAATATTTAACGTAAAACTTTACCTGCAGTTCAGCCTCATACGCACAAGTACGCACACACAAATCAAATCTTTTAGAATAAAATTTGCTTACAATTAAATAAAGTATCAAATATTTGCACCAGATGCAGTGATGATTAATTTGTATTCGTAGAATTAAAACTGACATTCTTCTTAAGTTTGACTTGTAGTATACATGACTTGGGGCATAGGTATATCCGTGGGATAGAAACCCATGCAACGTATGTATGCATAATACAAACTTGTCGGAAAGAATCGACAACACATTCTTGTTGACGATATTCCTTTCAAGTGGAACAAGTAGAGACTAGCTAACCTCGCATCAGCAAGTAGCGCAAGCATCTCACGAGTCAGACACCTGCGGCAGTAGAGCGAGCGTTTCCTTAATGAGACGAGTGTCATTCTTGTCAGTAGTAAAAGTTTACCATGTATCCGACAAATCGCCGCAATAGCGAAACCGTGATACCCATATAACATTAAAACATTAGCTTATAATAGTTAACAAAAGAAATTTGCAAACTGAGCTCATATTTGCATTTTTCCTTGAATGTAATTTCCTGATAATATTGACAAATTGCGAAAAAAGGCCATATACAATAGGCCATAAATATATTAGCATATTGTGTTTCTTACGGTAATAAATAGTAAGTTTGTACCGTTTTATGTAATTCAAAATTTTATAAATAAAACATTGACCAAAAATTGAATTATTTTTAAAGCAATAAAGAAATATTATTTCTAAAGTTTGATATTATTTCATGTACATACAAAAGCATATGTCTTTGTAATCAAGAAAGATCCCTCTCTTTCATTATATCTAATCTTTTTCATTCATAAATGGGTTTCTTGAACATTTTCATAATTTTCCAAAATTGCATGATTTTTCGCTATTAGATTCGTCCTATAATCCAATTCTTAAAAGAGTACCGAATGAGTGACCTCATATACGTATATTTAACATGTTTTCTCAATAAAAATATAAATGATATCCAATATTACATAAATAATTATAAAAATAAATAAAACTCAAATCCAATTGTGGGTAAATCCAATGCTCCATAAAAACAATGGAAATAAACGGAGTAGTGCCCCAAATTCAAATTTAATCAACCTCAATTATATATTGCGTCTTCGATTATATATATCTTTTCGTTCACTTTAAAATAGGCTATGCGACCATCTTTTGCCGCAATTCCAAACTAGTTAGGCCACCCAACAACCCACTACCAAAATTTATATTTGAGAAAGTTAATTCGGTATACTATTATTATCTTCACTACGGAGAAGAATGTGCGATCGATATACACCGGTATGGCAATGGAGCATATCGAATTAGCATTAACGAGGCAATATTTCACGATGCACCGCGAGTTTATTTCGGCAACTGCAACGTCACTGAGCGCAAATCAGATTCGTGAAAAAAATTCTAAAGGTCAGGGAGCCGGTGGTCACGCAACCGCGATCGTGCAATGTGCGCCCTAAGCCACAAGAGACGCTCCTCAAGTTCGGTGATTTATCTAACGCTCGCGAATACCCGATGTGTATTTATAGCGTCGGCCAAGTGCTTCGATCGGTCACTTCGGGCGAAGTTAAAGGCCGTACGAGGTCAGCCGCGCATGTCGTTGCTTCGTATACTGGCTGCTGCAAATGACTAAAAAAACCACAGGCCTAATCCAAATCTATTTGTGTTTATAACTTTACTAACGGAGTAACGATATGTGTATTCTATTAATTTTATGACCATAAAAAGTAAGTAAATGAATAAATAAATAAGAGAGAGAGAGAGAGAGAGAGAGAGAGAAATTAAATTAAATTATGATTACGCGTAGAATATATGATTTCGTATATATAGGCAGCATGATTCACAACTGACACATTACAAGGGATTATTTTGAATTACATGAATTAATTTACTATTGCTGATACATCCGTTTAACAGCAATATTTATATAATTTATTGACTTT